GTTATTTGGAAATGCCGAATATTTTTATTCGATTTTTGTGAAATGACCCTGCAAATAAATCGAATAGAAGCTATACTGTATAGTAAGTAATTATAAATTTACTATAAAATATTTTTTCAAGACAGGTTTTTCCAAACGCGACAGCTTTTTCGCATGACTGTAATTTTAAATGAATTTATTTAATATAATACTTGTGTTTTGTTTTGAACACAATCAAAACATGGATTGTAACATAAACTTTATGCTACAATCCATGTTTTATACTTAATGTATTTATAATGAAAATGTGAAAGTAATGAAATATACAATTTAATTGTAATGATCATTTTGTTATGTTGATAACGTTCTTTGTGGATAGTGGCTTGACGCCCATTAATTAAGAACATAACATTTTTTGTTGCTTCATTATTTTTATTAGTGAAATCGTCCAAACATAATTCTATTGTTTGATACATCAGCTTTCAACTCTGACGTATTTTTAACATAGTTAGAAATACATCCAAAACGATGTAACATAACTTGTTTTTAAAGAAAAAACCACAAACAACATTTTTGTTTTGCTCAACAACTGTGGCACTTCTTCCACCATTTAAGAACAAGACACTTTTGTTTCAAATTAAACTTGTTTTTGCAAAAAATTTTGTCACAACATTCTTTTAAAAAAAAATTGGAACAAACAATGAATAATAAATGTTGTTGCAAAATTATTGTCATCTTTACATTTTTTATATTATCAATAATAATAGTATTTTTAATTAATAATTTCTTACTAAAACAACAATTAAATTATGATACTTTTTAACTAATAAATTAATTATTAAATATAATTTAATTATTAATCAATAAACTAAATGTATAGTATTTTTTAAATTAATATATAATTGAACCATAAATATAAATAAAAAAACTTCCAATTAATTTTTTTTCGTTCATGAGTCAAGCTTCATAAATTAAACCCTAAAAAAATTTCGAAACTTACCTTAAAACATTGAGACTGTTTGCTAATAAACCGGGAAATTTCTTTGAATTAAAACAATCAAACTTATATACTAAAAACCCTCGAATAGCCTGTCTGAATGAGCGACACAACATACAAAATCACAGAAGTATTTCCCGAGAAGAAGAAACGCCGCAACTTTGGCAAGCAAGTCAATTGGGTTGAAGAGACTTCTGTTGGTGTACAGATGTTTAAGCAGTTTGGTTTTGATGGGAGTTTGGCACCCACCGACGGCATCAATATGGAGTTTGAAGAAGGTCGTGCCGGAATTGGAGCTTCCAAAGTTCCATCAAAACCAGCTGAGCACAGTCTTATGGACGTTTTAAAGAAAGTTAAGTCGGTTTCCCCTGCCATTATTGCGGAACTTAAGAATGAGCAAGTCAATGAGTCTCCTCTCGACGTCAAAACAAAGGAAAAGGACATCAAAAAAGACAACAACAAGAAGGCCAACAAAGAGAAAAAACCAAAGAAAGACAAAGACACTACCGAGGTGAAAATTGTTTTGCCAAAAGGGTTTAAAACGCCAAGACAACAAGCGAAGTTTGCTTCGCGATCACCTACTGAGTTAGCTGGTGTCTTCTGATTGTGGTTAATTTGTTGTGTTACTTGTATAGTTTTATTTTGTAATATTTTATAATACTATATTATAAAATGAACTAACACAAAAGACAAAGCCCATACCGTAATTTTTTAATACAAAATAAGACTGATTAAAGTTTTCAAAGGTATAAAATAGTCTCATTTCGATGTACTTTATTAAAGAATAAATGATATTGGTCTTGGGGTTTTATTACCAATTGAACAATTTAAAAAATACAAGACAATAATTGTGAACCATAAGAACTCTGAACTTAAATTGTGTATGGAGGGGAAAAACGAGGAATACCTTGAGAAGTTACTGAATGATTACATCAAGTCTGGGTGGTTCATTAATGAGGGTTTTGTATCTTCCATATTTTCAATATTAAAAAATAAGAAAGAGACGCTGGATGAGTTTATACAAAAACGAGGGTTTTACTGGAAAAGTGTTGAGTGTCACACAGAGGGGCAGTTAACCAATTTACAAGAGGTTACTGCCCAACACAACACGTTACTTAAAGCGCTTCGAGGGGTTAGAAGAGAGTTAGTATTTGTGTGTGATGAATACGGAAGGTCATTAAGGTGTGTTTCACCCCAAAAGGGTTTGCAGACGAAAAGCATCAATCCATTAACAGACACACTTGTTTCAAGGGGATGTGGTAATTCAACGATGTTTTATTGTATGAGTGGTGATGGGGTGTGTTTATCTCCATTGATAGTTGGTGACACCGAATACTTAAAGGAAGTTAGATTAGTGTTGGGGGATAAGGTCACGTTGTTACAAAACGAGAACTTTCAATTTACAAGTTCAGGGATGTGTAAGTGGATTGTGAACGTTATTATCAAACACATTAAGAACAAGCGCAAAGAGTTCAAAGACAACTTAAAAGCAGTCATTTTGTTTCCCGAATATTACAAAAACCCATTCACTATTGTGCCTGACCTAAAGAAAGAAAATATCGAAACAATAGGGGTCGAAAAACTGGCACAAGACTTCACACCTTTTGATAACATCGGAACTCTTCTCGACTCCATCGTCATCTCGAGGTGGACGGACGATCAAAAATTGAACGTGTTTATTGCAGCAAGTGAATTCTTAGAGTTGGACGCACCACTTTCAAAAAGTTGCTTTGAAGGGATTTACAAAGACGACATTTCAAATGAATTTATTTCAAATAGTGCCTTTGAAAGTAAGGTTTTGAGTGGACGAGACTTACAAAAACGGATAGATCCAAATATTGTGAAGATGTGGGAACGTGAGGGGTTCATTTATAACATTAACAAACTCAAATCTCCACTGAATTTAATCGTCTTCCACATTATATCAACTCAGCAATTCATGCTATGTAAAAGTGTTAAAGAGCAAATACTCTTCTTCTTATGTAATTACCCCACACTTGTGAAATTCTTTAAGTCCGAAAAGTAATTGATTGATTTTTTTATAGTTGAAATATAATTTTATTTACTATTGTATTTGAGCTAATAAAGTTTCACACAAAAACAAAATTGTAAGGACAATTTTGTTTTTGGAAAGGATGAAAGAAAACAATTTAATACAAATAGTATTTTTATTTAAAAATCAATTTGTTTCTTAAACTAAAAATATAATATGATAATAATATTTTTTTTTATAAAATAATTATAATAATTCAAAACTTTCTTTATAATAAACTTCAGTATCGATTGACAAGATTTACATCAAATTAATTCACAAAATAAGAATTTTTAATCAAAACTATACTCAACTATAAATATAACCATATAATTATTATATTTAAAAATACACCACCATATCTTGATTAATTTATAGTAAAATAGATAGTAAAAAAAACAAAATAAAATTCAATTGTCACAATGAAAAAAAAAAGAAACGACCTGAAATAAAAATAAAAAAAACATGGAGCAAGTGCTCGTTGACCCTCAATTCAACCAACAAAAAGCACTTTCGTTCATTAAGGCTTTTGTTTCATCTTTACCTGAGATACACAACGTCACCAAGGGAAAGGTCTACGATATTTTGCAGAGTAAAACCGTCTCTGAATTTATGGTGAAATGGTCGCCAGTGATGTGGACTTATCTCCGCGACGAGAACGTTTCCGAAGAAAATAAACTCCGGTTCATGTTATATATTGCGCCACTGAAAAACGATAGCTCAAAAGAGGGTATGTTATCACTTGTCCGTTTCTCGACGGAAGAGTCCGTGAGACTACTCACACAAATCATTGAGAGAAATTCGAGAATTGCAGTCGACGATAATTACTTTATCAAACTTCAAAAGGACGAAAAGCTATGTAAATGTTTCAACGAGTTTATGACCCAACTCAATCGAATGGACAAAATACAGAAGACGCCCGTATGGAAATTGGTCGACCCATTTTACTTTGCTGATGCAGAGGAAAACAAAAGGATACGGAAAGCAGCTTTGAGGAGTGAAATTGTATCAAGACTTGAATTTGCAGACCAGAGTACACTCCAACAGATATTCAAAATGAACGGGGGGTCATCGTCAAATTGGGATGTTACACTTCATTTGGATATTCTTGAAATATCACAACTCAAAGAAATACTCATGGTGCTCGGGTGAGTAAATGTTCCTTCAAATAGAACACAGACTGTTTTGAAATAACAAGAAAATAGTACAACTTCATTTATTATTGTTTTGTATTTGGTTACTTCGCAAATCATGATAGAAATGCATTTAAATTGTATTACGAAGTGGATTAATAACACATGGAATTAGTCGGAGTGGGTTTTGTAGTAATCGGGCGGATACAGTTGTGAAGGAAACCCTCTAACACGGCCAAGAAGCATGACTACTATGATTGATATTTTTCCTATATTACTTAAACCACCACTAAAAGAATACGGTTTGTTCTGATACCCTAATGAATACCCGACTGTGCCAAACGCACTTGTCACTTCAAACAAAACAGTCAAAGCGGTGTGTTCTTCGGGTTTTTCCATCGCAACAACTGCCATCACAAATATAGTAAAAAAGAAGACGATCCTTCTCATAAATTTGTTCTATATAATAATGCACTTAATTTCTTAATCAATACAAGTATTAAGAGAAGGGTAGAATGACTAAGATGGAACAAATGAAAAATTCATAAAGAACAAACATTGCATGTGAAAAAATAATATCAGAGAAGTATGATATCATCGTCTGTAAATTACTTTTATTTGGGAAGTACCCTGCCTGTATAGAAACTTGTTTATCACGATAGTCTCTGATCATCTGTATTGGGTACGAACCAACAAACATTGTGAAAATGTAGATGATATTCACTATGTCATGAAGTTCTGCAAACGACGAGACAAACTGGAACCCAGCTGTTCGAGTGACTCCAGCCTGCGCAAGTCCTAACACCAAAACATAGTCCACCTGGCAGTCTCTGTTAAGCAAGACAAAGAACATTGTTTGGACAAATAAGAGTAAGAAGAATATCACAAGTAATAACTTCGTTTGTGTCGAAGAGAAAAGATATGCAGATATCCTTGTAGGCGATTTCAGTATATACAAGTACGGAAGGTTTTTCGTTAAAATTTTCATATTGCGAGGTTCGGTGAGTCTGTGGAGCACAAAGATTGTGTATCGAATTCCAATTGGAATTCCACAGTTGCCAAGAATTGAAAGAATTGTGATGGATATGACAATTACATAATCCGAAGAAATTTGAAGGTGTGGAGAGTTGATCGACAGTCCTGCATTGTTCCACGCCGATACTGTAATAAAGTACGAAAAGAAAAATGGCGACGTTTTGTCCTTAGTTAATACATCGTAAGTGTTTTTGTTGCAATAGCAATCGATAAAAATGATCATAAAAACGATGAATTGACATACAAGTGTGTACATCACTGCAATGATACAAAAGAGTTTCACAGCTCCCAATTCGACAGAGTAGTTGTACTTATATGGCGATGTCTCTGATGTTATTATATCGATTTGAATGACATCATCTTTCTCGTCAGTCGAAGTGTATTCTTCACACTCAGTAGTCTCCTCGGATGGTGGAATAATTTGTTTCAAACGATAGTATCGAATAAAGCTTGGAATACAAACACTCGCAAAGGCAACTCCACATATTGTTATACAAATTGACACGATAAATTGACTTGATGTCTTCATAAAATATACATCGTTGGTGGAAAGTCCAGTCCCTGTCCCGCCAGAGACACACAAAAATATTGCGTCGATGAATGAGACTTGACTATAGTCCAACTCAATGTAGTGAATGCAAATTCCACCGATGACAGTGACGAGTATTACATAAACCATTGTTAATGAGTAATATGAAGTAAACTGACTCAGAAACCACTGGGAAATAAATTTGAGCTTCTGTTTAAAAAGTCCCACATTGATATACATATATCGTATGATCACAAGTTCGTACACTTTAAAAAACCCTTATAAATTTCTTCAAAATATTCCATTTATTTAGGTAATAATATAACGTATTTGCCACTCCAATTATTTATTTGCTTTAAACTACGACACTTTCCCAAAGTTTCAGAAATAAAAGAAGTAGTTTTAAAATGTTATTAATTAAAGGCAAAAGTAGTCTACACCTTTTAGTCTTTTTCTGTTTTAATGTTGTAAAAAGACTAAATATGCATTTATATTACTATTTTATTGTATAGTAATTTAATTTAAACTATTGTTTATTAACTATTTTTGTAATAATTGATTGAACACTTATATGAATTAGATTACATTTATTGGCTCTTAGGTTTTTCATATATAATGTGATAAACATAAATAATATAAACAGTGACTTAATCGGACCATTGAACTATGATGAGTTTGGAAATCTCGAATGTTGGACTTCCAGTGAAAAACAAATGTTTTTCGTCTGGGATGTTCGCATAATTCAAGGCAAACTTTTTGGTTAATTCACACCTCCCAAACCGTTTGACTTTGATGAATCTTTTCACTCCAAACACCATCATCTGGTGGTTGCTCGGCCACACACAAAATGTTTTACCGGGGCGTTTTAAGTAAAATCTTCTCGGCTGGTCTCCTGTATTGTTTCTCAATGAGAACACAAAGAACCCATTATCCTTTGTAAGATATTTGTACTTCTTTTTGTGGGCGCTTGGTATTGGACTTTTATTAAAGGACCCAAATATATGACCTTTAGTTGACACTATAATAATCATCAGATTCTCTTTTAGATTCATTGCAGCATTTACATTAGCAGACGTTATATTATTAGAAAGAATGCTTTCATCAAACAGAACATTGAACCTTCTCAGTCCAATCCACAGTCTAAAGTTCTCTAAAAACCTCAACACGATTGTCTCTCCACTTGCATTCAAAAAGTTTTTGGTCTCTAGTTCGTACTCCTCTTTGATTCTCATTTCGTTCTGTGATTTTTCAAGCTCAAGTTGCTTTTTCTCCTCCTCACGCTTCCTCAATTCTTCCATACTAATCTCTCGACATATATTTCTTTTCACGTAATTTGTGGGGTCTTCAATTTCTTGCTCCACTATACATTTTTCAACGACTTCACTTGGTGTTTCAGTAACTGGACTTAATACCTTCTTCTTTGAAATTTCTTCTCTGATGCTGGCTGACATGGTTTCAGGTTTGGGTGGTTCGACTGTGATAACTTCCTCTTCTTGAATTTGCAATGGCTGAGTTGGAATCACTGTTTCACACACTTTTGAAACATTACTGTTATTCACTTTATGTGACTTGATGTTCTCCATTTTGTCCTCTTGTTTGTTTGTCTCATTTTCAGAATTAATTTGTGACTGGAAGTGAAAGTTCTTTTCACAAATGGTAGCAGAGCTTTGATAAAAAAAGGTTTCTTCATTTCGAGGCGTAAACACGGCGGGAGTCTCGGGTCGTTGTTCTTTATGGAGTGATGGATTTCTTTTTAATATTATTTTGTCTCTTCTTGCTAGAGTCGTCCTTGGGGTTTCAGAACCTGAAGCACTTTCACTTCCTGTGAATCTACTAAGCTTTGGGCGCTTCTCTTTCATTTCATCTTCTTTGACTTCTTGTGGAAGAGTAGAGAGGGATTTCTGCTGGCAAATTTGAATTGGACATTGAATTTCTAAATTTGGATCAAAAAACAATTTCTTGTCTTCCTTTTTATCATCTTTTTGTTCTTCGCTCTTTGTTAGTCGTTTTTCGGTTTGTGAACTGGGACTCTCAGACTCAATTACTTCCGAAGAAATTATATTAAGTTTATTTAAATCGAGTGGTGGGACAAATGGACGTTCTAATGATTTTTTAGTTTTTAATTGAAATTCTTTATTCACAAGAAGCTCTTTGGTGTATATAGGTTGTTCTCTTAAACTATAACGTTTTTCTTCAACTGGTTTTGTGTTAAGCATTAAACTTTTCCGAGTCACTCGTTCTTTTTTACTAGTAAGAAGGTAATAAACATATTTGTTTTTATTGGATTGTAATTCTGTTGATGATGTTATTAAACTTTTTTCAATTTTGACGGTTTCAATTTCTTTTACTGTTATGTCTTCTTTTTGTTGTTCTGAATTATTCTCTTTGTATTGAACGATATTTTGAACTTCTTTTAAATCAAAGTTTCTTTCTTTCAACTCCTCTAACCTTTCTCGATGTTCAAAAATACTTCTTGCAAACATCATAGTAGTCAGTTCATCAAGTCCAATTTGATTCAATTCGGAAAACAGTTTGAGTATTCCCAATTTATTCAATACTTTTAGAGGTTCATCCTCTCCTCCAATTGACTTTACTATCATTCCATCTCTCCAATCAAATAGATAATTTGTAATCTTTTTGTTCGTTATTTGTTCAAGCCAAGTCACCACTTCATTCATTTCATTTCTCCTCAATTTCATGTTTGATTTGACAATAACTGTGAACAAAGAAAGAAGCATTTTTTCATCTTTGGTGATTATGTCATTCTCATCACAGTCGTTTTCGATTCCAAGTGTTTTTAAAAAATCAATGCAGACGTTTGCGGCTTCTATTTGATGGAAAGGAGTTTTTAATTTCTTTGGATATTGCAAATGGCACTTTTTGTTATAGACATTTTCAAGAAAATGAATGAGACGAACGCCGTCCAAATCCTTGAAAGATTTGATTTTCACATCGGACTTTGTATTGAAAAATTCGACCATTGCATTGGTTTGAAGTGTTTTCCACATTGACATCTTTATAAAGACAATAAATCAGTTTTTCTTCTTTTTTATTTTGCTTCAAATTTTGACTTCAAAAAGTTTATTCTTGACAATTTTAGAAAAAAAAACTTTGTTTCAAATAATTAGTACCCAAAACTTCAAAAAGAAACCGCACTCACCCACATTATTAAATATTTTGAAGACAAAGAAATACCAGATTAACTTTTAAATAATTACTACAATAAAAAGATCAACCAGAGTTTAAAAAAAGAATAGAAAAAACATTAATGTTTTTATAAAAAACTTTTGACTTTTTTCGTTTTATTTTTGGCTTAAATACTCTCAAAACAATTATTTAAATCCTATTCTTTTTAGTTGTTATCTTCTATTTGTTTCTGGGTTATCCAACTGTGTTAAGGATAACTAATAAAACAATAATTGTAAATCCACAATTCGAATTATAAAACTTTAATCAAACTATTAACAATTAAATTACAACAAAGCTTCGTGTTCTTTTAGCAACAATTTTATAACTTCATTGAATGATTTGACCTTTCTCTCTTTTTGAATCGTTTTTAACCTTTCAAGGACTTTCCCGTTGACTCGGATTTTGGGGTACTTTTGGTCTGGAGTTTTTTCGTCTGTTATTGTATTAGCCTTCATAATTGTTGTTTCACTTTTGGCCTTTCTTGGCTTCTTTTCATTTTTCTGCTTCTCCTTCCCTTTTTCTTTTCTTTCTTTCTTGATCATCTCCTTTTTTTCTTCTGAACTTCCAGTTTTATTGACAACATCTTCAAAAGTCTCTTTAAGTGGAAACTTTGTCTGTAAATTGTTCATAGAAATGAAATTAAAGGAATCGACAACAAATGGGTGAGCTGGGTACTGGTTGAAACTGTGCATTTCTTATATTTAAAAGTTGGTATCCGTTTATAAACCACTTGTTTCCAAACCGCCTTGTAGTCTTCTTTCTTTTCTTTCTTTCGCAGCTTTCCATTAAAGAAAAGAGAGCCGATCAAAGAAAAAGATCCAAACAGACAGACTTTTTAAATTCCATTTTCCATATTTTTTAGGGAAATAACTGGAATGAAAATCTTTTTATTTAGCTCAATAGAATTATTCTTTTTCTATTGAGAATAATTTGAATCACAAAAAAGACCGAATTCGCTATATTTAGAAAAACATTTTGATGTTCCAAATAATTTTCAACTGATTGTTTGGAACAAAATAGTTTTTACAATTTCGAGTGTGTTTTCAAAAATCCATAGAAATCGTATTACAATTGTAAAACATAAAAAACGAGTTACTCAAACAACGCAGACCCCGAAAGTTGCCTTTCAGTCACAAACCGTTTAACAGCATATCGGACCTCGTCGATCTTTTCTGGGCTTCTAGTATACACTCTTCGACAGAACGTCTCACTTTCTTTTGGATATAATATCGACGGCTTGTGTGTGATGATCTCGCCATTCTCTTTTACAAAGTTGATTTTCTCCCAGTTATCTTTTGGAGCGACTGTGATTCGTAAATCGTCAACAATGATGTCTTCTTCCTTCAAATTCTTTCCATAGTCGACGATAGTCTTTGGTGACAATTCTGATAACAACGCTTTGTTTTCTGCTGTTTGGCCCAACGAATCTACAAGGGGGTAGAACTCCGCTCGGTCGAGTTTACCAACCAATTCTTTCGCTTTATTCAATCCAACCAATTTCGACGATCTTATGATGTTCAAGATCGAATCGTCAAGTTGAATGAAACTGTCCAAATCGTCTGGGCCGCTTTTCAGTATCGGGACATACGGATACGCCTCGATCAATATATCACATATGAGCAATTCAACGGCTGTTATGTTCTTGTTCGTGTACACATCTTTGTACATCAGATATCTTTGCGTAAACAAGTCTTCAATGTCACTTCTGCATTGCGAGGAAAAGCATATTTGTCCGTCATGGATGACCCCTCCCTCCACTATTTTGTCCACAGTAAATCGTAAAGGTCGGTGCAAGTGGTATGCATCTCTTCTTAAATAATCAAGTCGATCCACATCAATTCCATTACTACAATTACTCACTATTTGTTTCAACCATAACCGTTCAGTCTTTTCTTCCTTGACATCGTTGACTGAATGCGTGATCAATTCACCTATTTCTTTGACTTCTTCGTCACTGACATTAAAATCTCCTTTCTCTCGTAACTCGCTAACTATCTTCTCAAACAATTTGACTGACTGAACTTCATGACAAAATTTGATGCCATTGGTTTTCATGGTGCGCTCATACAAATGACTAAATGGGCCATGTCCAAGATCGTGGCACAACCCAGCTATTTCTACCATTTTCTTATCCGCTTCGGTGACTAAATCCTCTTTACTAACTGCGTGATTGGCAACGACTTGCTTCATGTTCAAATTTAATACCATCTTCTGGGCTAACTCGGCAACACCCAAAGAGTGCTCAAATCGCATATGAGTGGCTGATGGAAATACAAACTGCGCGCTGCCCAATTGCGCGACGCGGCGGAGTCGTTGAAAGGTGGGGGTTTTGACAATCTGTTCACTTTCATCAGAAAGTGATGTGACATTACAGAAATTACCAGAAAAGAGTGCCGCAGAACGACTGCGAATTAAAAGGGGAGAAACGGTGTCATCTTCACGCCTTCGCTTTGGACTTCCCTCGAAAGCTGAAGACATTTATGACTTTTCAGTTCATAAAATCCTAGCATTGCTGGAAATTAAAAGCCAATAGAATTATTGTCTGAACAAATTCAATATATATGGTTTATTTATACTATATTATATAATACGTTGCTTATAAATAGAACTATTTGTCTTTTCAACAGAAAATTATTAAATAATAATAATTTGTTGGTACAGTTTTTAGTGATTGTTGAAGGAAACTATAATTATCTACTAGTATAATTTAAATATAGTTTATCTTTGAAGAACTATATAAAGTAATGAGAAAACTAGACAACTACTCTATCTTGATTGTAAGCCAATACTTTAAGACAACAGAAGACTTCATCAACATTATTTGTGTGTGCAAAAAGTTTGAAGAAACCACACTGAAGTATAGATACAACCCAATTGAATTAAAAGTGAATCAAAGACTTTTCCCCAAGCTTGAGACGTGGTGCATTTACAACATACAACGCAAGTTAGAAGTCCCAAATACCATTGGATTGGCTAGAATCTGTTTTCCTGCAACGCCAAGTCATAAAAAAGAAGTATTGTCTGTCATAAAAAATGCAAAGTTTGTATATAATACGAACGCGCCTTCAACGGGAAGTATGCCAAACATGAAAAATCTCAATATGTTGTCATTTCATAGTCTTTCGAAGCTTGTGCTTCAAGACGTTGTTATTCCACCACAAATTATTAAATTTGAAAGTTGTTGCTTTGAGTCGAATAGAAGTATTCAACATGTGACACTCCTTGCGTCGGTTACAGTGTTACCACAATCAACGTTTAATGACTGTATGTCTCTACAACAAGTAGTACTCCCAAACTATATTCTCTCCATCGGGGATAAGTGCTTTTCGAACTGCCCAACACTTGTCGACATCAACATCCCAACTAATTTAAGATCTATCGGAAAAAGCGCATTCCGAAAGTGCAAAAACCTCCAAAATTTGCTGTTACCAAGTTCGCTCACAATCATCAACGATTTTGCTTTCTCATTGTGCACTTCTTTGAAAGACATACAGTTACAGGGGGATATGGCTGTGATCAAAAATTCATCATTTTTCATGTGCAAATCGATCACTTCAATGCAAATTCCATCTTCTATTACTTTAATAGAAAACGAGGCATTCAGAGGATGTTCTAGTCTCACTTCAATTAACTTAGAAAGAGTTGTTTCTATTGGGAGAAAGGCATTTTCTGAGTGTAACAGCTTGAGTGAAATATATTTTCCTCGCGCTCTTTTATCAATCGGGGAATCAGGGTTCTCACATTGTTACAACTTGTCAAAACTTCTTTGTGAATCAACTCATATTGATATGGGAAGGTTTTGTTTCTATGAAACAAAGATAAAAGTCGACTCGTCTTTTTTGGCTGTGTTTCATTCTTGTTAGTTATTCATTTTTAATTAATAAAACGGTATATCTATATTTAATGTAAATTTTACTAAAATTATAGTAAAATTCCTTTTGTTTTAATTTTACTAATTTGTTAGCTTCATTTTAGTTTATAATAGATTCCTTACCAATGTATATTATAGCCTATTAACTATTTAAAATATTTTTTTTGTTTTTATAAACTGAATTTATAAAAATAAACAAAATGTGCTAAATTGTAATAATAAAGGACAGTTAGTTTGACTTTTTACTTTTTGATTTTATTCTATTACTATAGTATATTAATTGTATTTAAATTGTTAAAATTTAGTATAAATATTTATATTAAATTCAAATAGATTAAATATCAATTTTTTACCAAATCTGCATTTATGGTAACAAAATCATTTAATCTTTGAAGTTCTAATGGACGAGAAAAAAAGGAGGGGTAATTAAAAACTATTTATATGGTAATAAAATAGCAAATTATAAAGTTTGTTACCCAAAATTATATCAATTAATATAAAAATAGTTTCATGTACGTGTGAATTTTTCAAAAAAAAAGATATACAGATTATTATATACCAACATATTGGGATATATGGGTTGTTGTATTATTTACAACAATCTAAATCAAAGTTATTAATAACTTAATGAATATAGTTAAAAGGTTAAAGAATGTTTAATTGGGGTGGGAAGTAAGTGTGGTGTCTATCAATGAAAACAACATAGGAGAACTTAAAACTGCATTGTGAAACGGAGTTATGCTGTGCTTTTTTCTTGCACAGACAATAATCATAAAGTTACTTATTTATTCAGTCGGTGGTTATGTAAGAGTTGAGAACTTTTTAAACACTTCAAATGACAATGAGACCTCCACATTTGATACCATCCTATTTATGGAAAGAATTAATAACACGACTTCTTCTTTTTACAATAAAGTAAAACTTAAATCAAAAACAGGTTTCGACACATTTGACATAACCAAATCCTATTGTGGTAATAGTAAGAAGGAAGACACTGTGATTTACAAAGACCAAACTATTCAAATCACAACAAATGTGAGTCAAAATAAAGACTTGATTTTACAAGATTCCACAGTCTTAATATTATCTTCTTGCACCGTGTCGTTCGGTAACGTTTTTATTTTGGGGACTTCATCAATAGTTGTGTACCCATACTCATCTCTGCAAACTAAAAATATGACCTTATTTTATTCTTCATCTTTTTCGATGGAAAATTACACAAAAGTAATTGTCACTGGAAATCTTGAAATATACAATTCTTCATATTTTGAGTCTTTTTATTGTTGTACACTTGAAGTGTCAGACAACATCACATTGTATGACACATCGATGTTTTATACATTAGACAACAACACTTTGACTATTCAAAATTCAGTGGTGCTCAACAATGAAGCATTGTTTTCTTTGTACCCAAACACGAAGGCCACCATCAAAAATTCCTTTTTAATATTCGACAACACCATTTTAGTTTTGAATAATGCAGTGATACTTACAATAGATTCTTTTGTTACAAACGGAAATTCACAAATTAAAATTTTTAGTTTAACTATTATAAGAGTGAATGAAATGATTCTACTTAATTCATCTAAGGTCTACCTTCAAAACGTCACATCCATATTCACGAAATACATGTATTTACAAGGAGAATCCTTATTTTCTTTAAATAATGATACAACTGTGTATGTTGACAATTATTTTGAAATGCGCAACAAAGCCATAATTTCATTTCGGTATAATGATAGATTAATTGTATATGGCAATGGAGTGGACCAGAAAATATGTGACCCCGACTTTAATTATAATCCAGACGTGAGATGTGTCATCGCAGCATTTTTAGACTCGTGTGTTATCACACAAAGGTACGGTGACACACAACAATATCCATTGTTCACACTTTACAATGGATTCGACGTTTTTAATAAAGACGTTCTTCTGAAAATGGCAACCTCTGTGGTAAATTTCTTTGTTTATGCAAAAGACTTTTTCAGGAACGACAAATCGCCACTGTTTCTTCAAAACGGAAGATTACAGAGGTTCTTTGTGTTTGAACAAGAATACGACATCCACTGCTTTATGAATGGAACAATGTGGGAAAATGAATTTAATTGGAATTCCTCTTACCCATTCATCACACCGAACTGCCCATGTTCTGGACAAATGTGTTTTGTCCACACAATGAAACAAAAAGTGACTTTTAAGAACAGAGATTACTTCAATGGAAATGTGGTAAATGCCGATTTATTAGAAATAGGTGGTCATGATGTCGAATTGCATATAAACACTTCTTTAAATCGAGTGATTTATTCGGATGTATTAAAAATTGAGAGAAGAGTGAATCACAAGACTTCTAACAAGTCGGATTTGAAAGGAGAAGATGCCACACCAAGAACATTGGTCGCACTAATAGATAAAAATAACAACAACCCTTTATCAATAACACTGAAATTCTCGTTATATGAAGAAGAGACAAAAGCAGAAGAAAGTATTATGATTAATGAAAATGAGATTACTATATCATTAGTACAACACACCACTTCACAGGATCAAGCTATAGCAGAAATCATTCAAATAGCACCATCTGTGTTTCTCTTTAAAGCAAACACAAACTTCTCATTTAATAGTGTGGATAATTGTCAGAGTGCGTTGGTGACAAACATGTCGGAGTGTTTGACTAACTATTCACTTGTATGTGCAAAAGGATACTTTGTCGATTTTGGGAAGAAGTGCTCGGAATGTCCAAGTAATTGTGAAGTCTGCACTAACACGACAAAATGTATTAAATGTGCGCCTCATTATTATCTCTCTAATTTTCAATGTCTTAAACTCCCCGACACATGCACATTAGCCACAAATGAGAGATGTGTATTTTGTGGAGAAGGTGCGTTAAATACACAATACAATTCATGTGACATGTGTTTGCCATTTTGCAAAAAGTGTAGTGGGTTAAAGTGTATTCTTTGTAAAGGAAATTCAGTGATCAATTATAACGGGTTTTGTTACACCCCAGATGGAAGTCAGACCACCAATGAATACACAATTACAAGTTGTAAAGATGGCTATTTTCTCAATGATACAAAATGTACTATATGTACTAGTTTAGATATAGATTGTAACGTTTGTAACAAAAAGATGTGCACCAAATGCAATTCAAACACACTTTTTGTGAATAACATATGCCGTTCACCGATTGGGTATATGATCCTTGAAAACAAGATTTTTGGGTGTCAAAGTGGATATTCGAAAAGTGAGAATGGCAGATGCGAGAAAACGTTGAATGACTGTCTCGTTTACAACAATGGGTGTATTAAATGTAATAGTTCGACTTATCTATCACATGGGAAATGTTATACAACTGTTGAAAAATGTGTGTCATACACCACACTTGGATGTTCTAGTTGTGATTTTGGGTACTTTGTCGACTCTACCGGAAGATGTGCAAAATGTGATAAAGATTGTCTTTCTTGTTCGAAGATATCAACTCGTTGTTTGTCTTGTGACAAAACGGTATCTTATCTAAACAATGGCACTTGTGTGTACTACGAATTCTCTGCAGATTCTTGTGCGCTTGTAGCACAAAATGGTTGGTGCATTACGTGTCAAATTGGGTATTACAAAAGTGGAACACAATGCAAAAAGTGCAATAAATCATGTGCGGCATGTGTCACCTCTACTGTATGTACAACATGTTCTTCCAATTATTATTGGTTACCAAAGAATGGCAGTTGTGTATGTAAAAACACAGTTTTGCACTGTTTAGATTCTCCAATAGGTTCTTTGGGGTGTAAGACGTGTCAAGATCAGTATTACCTTGAAGATGGCAATTGTAAAAAATGTTCCAATTGGTGTGGGCGATGTAAGACATATGATCGTTGTTTATATTGTACCACTGGAGTCTTAATAAACGAGAGTTGTTTCAATTACACTGCCATTGAAAGTTGTATTAAAGCCAAAAATTCGAAGTGTGCCAGATGTGAGTTCTGGAGAAGACCAAGTCCAGATGGGAGTAAGTGCTTGTTTTACTTTGAGTGGATACCTGTGATAGTATTACTGTTGACAATTATTGTTGTTATTATCATTAGTGTTGCCATCAGTTATTTTGTCATCCGAAAATTGGTGAACGTCCACAACTCATACAAAAACAAGTACAAGCACAACTCGATGAAGATGTCTGAGTATCGATTTGTTACAGAAAAGGATACACAAAATGGGATAATAGTGGGTGAGAGAGTCATTAATTTTGTTGACGATAATTTACTAATAGTCAATGTCCCCCGAGTGCGTACGATTGTGATAGGAAACGCACAGAAATGTTTACAAATATTTCAAGTGGTTACAGGTAATATAAAAAATAAGGTGAATGTCACATCATCACCAGATGTGTTCTTATTAAAACCAAATTACTGTTGTGAGGTATTGATATCAGTACTACCAACGTGCACATTTAAAAGTGAAGAAGAGCTTAATATCATTGCGACGAGTGTGAGCACCAACAAGAAGACTAAAGTTAAGATTAAGATGCAATTTGATGTTGAGATGTCGAAACGCATTTCTGAAGATGAGATAGTAGTGAAGAATATTATAGGCCATGGAGCATGCAGTAATGTATACTCTGGTTATTATCGTGGACAGAAAGTCGCTGTGAAGGAGATGAAATACCTTTTTGTGCATCAAGAGAAGGCACAAGAGTTGTTGTTAAATGAAATTGATGTACTCGAAAAGATTCAGAACGACTTTATAATTTCATATATAGGTTGTTTTACTTCAGTACAAAAAGTCATATTGGTCGAGGAATTGGCAGAGTTTGGATCTCTACAGCAAAGAATTGACCAAAGTAAAGAATTTTCAAAAGAATTCAAAATTAAGATACTTAAAGACAGTTGCTGTGGTTTGGAATATCTTCATCGCCACAATATCTTACACAGAGACGTAAAACCTGGAAACATATTGCTGGTGGATCTCTCTAACAACGCTTATTGCAACGCAAAGATCTCGGATTTTGGAAGTTCAAAATACACAGTTAACACGTTGAATTTGACATTCACTAAAGCCATCGGAACGCCTTCATTCATGAGCCCTGAAATACTCAGAATGGAAAAGTACACAAAACAAGCAGACGTATACTCCTTTGCAGTCACTATGTTCGAAACTTTTATATGGGACAAAAGCTACCCGGAGACTAACAAAAAGTTCGAGTACCCATGGCTCATAGCAGACTTCGTGACGTCCGGAAAAAGAATTGGGAAACCAGATAACATGGAAAATAGTGTTTTCGAACTCATTAGCTTGTGTTGGGATAACAACCCAAATCAAAGACCAACCTTCGAGCAGATTAAAAGTCGACTCGAAAAACTGTAATTTATGTGTTTGTATATTTTTAATTTTCTATAACTATGTATAGTATATTAATCTAATTTTGTAAACTTATTTTATAGTTTTAATATTAAATAATTAGAATATAATTAATGAACTATATATTATATAGTGTTGTTTTTAAGATACTTGGAATAACTCAATTGAATTATGAAATATACTAAATATTATTTAAAAATAAACTATTGTAATATGACAATATATTTATAAAATTAATTAAATAAAAATATTTTTCTTTTGAAAGTTTCTTTTTTTTATAAGAAAAGTAGATTGGAAAATTTAAAGAAAAATATCGCAAAAAAAATGGACATTTTATTTTGGTTCATTTTAAGTGTTTAACTAATTTAATCACATAAAAAAGAAAAAATCAAATTATTAACATTGAAAAAAATAATACACTAAGTTTATTTTTAACAACAATTTTTACCAAATCAAATGAAAATAAGTTCATGAAAATTCCATGTCTTTGTTGGGTTTGGTTACAATCCCGAAATTATTAATGAATTATGTGGAACGAAAGTCCAAATAAGGACAAAAAAAAAGCGAAAATATCCATTTGAAAGTTCAACGCCACATCACACCGATTTATAACTGATCTAAGAACAGTGTTAAGCATAAGATGTTACTTATCTTTCTCGTGTCTTTGGTCCTCTCACAGACATGTAAAACGCCGATTAACATTGATGAAATATCAACAACACACTTTGCCGAGGAAACTCACAATTTGGAAACTGAAGGCGTCAAGAATAAATGGAGCTGCCAACAAGTCGATTCCGAAGTCCACGAAGAAAAGGCTATGACCTTTTCTTTCACAGTAAAAACAACTGGTCTTTACGAGTTGAGCACATGCAACTCACAGACGGACTTTTCCTCGAGAATCATCATTGGAAAGAGCTGTACTGAAGAAGTCGCCTCAAACTGTGTCGGAGCCAATGACGGAGACCCCAATGGCGTCTGCGATGGACACAGATCAAGGGTGATTGCCAGTTTGAACTCTGGTGTTGTATACTACACCGTTATTGCAGGTGTCACCGAAAATGACTTCGGAACATTCAAGCTCACTATAAAACCTTACAACAACCCAAGTAGTATCAAGTGCTCACTTGCACTGAACATTGGAACAGTTCCAAACTCGGTGAATGGACTTATCTCTTCGTCCCAACAATATTTCCCAACCAAACATGGTTTCAAAAGAGGGTTCTGGTTCAAATTCACAGCGACTCAGAAAACGCACATCATCGACACGTGCAATAAAAACACACAGTATGGAACCACTATCTATTTGTACAAGAATCCGACAACCTCGAAAGAGTGTATGAGTGATATGCCAATTGTAGAATCGTCAGAGGGATGCGGTAGCTTCGCAAAGTTGTACTACGACAACTACGAAGTTGGAAGCGAATACTATGCCTTTGTGTTCTTCACGGAGGATGTCAGTGGAACTAACCAACTCGAGGGTTCGCTTGAAATCAGCTTTAGATTGAATGGTGGAGAGAACTATAAGTGCCAGAATGCATTCGCCATCAGCAAGAAGCCATTTAGTATTCTCATTGATATGAAAGGACAGACCAACAATTCGTCTCCATGTGCTCTCAACACGCCCGCCACAGGAATGTACTTCGCTCTCAGAGGCGACAATAGAAGATACGCGTTCCACACATGCTACACTGAGTCGACTGGAAACGACAAAACATCAATTGAGTTCTATAAGGATGGGTGCGCTAATTGCGCCTCTACGTCGACACAGTCTTGTGGTAACGACGCTATTGTAACAGCTTTCTTGGAATTGAACAAAATTTACAGATTCAGAGTTGTTTGCAGCAACCCAGAGTGCAAAGTTAATATTAATTTGTTGCAACTGGACAATGTCGATAACCATGTTTGTGATAAAGCCAGAGAAGTCAAGGTTGCCAAAGACGAGCAGTACTCACAGTTTATGATGGGATCTTCGGTGACTGAGTACACCTCTTTCAAATGTCCAGGCGCACCCAGTGATGTTTACAGCAAAGATATGAAAGGTGGGTGGTACAAATTGAAAAGTGAAGAGGACATAGACATTGTCCATGGTGTGTTTGCTTTAAAGAACACTCACTATCGTGCTTTTATGGCTACTTTCGACGATTGTGAAAAAGACTGCAAGTTAATGAGAACAAAAGACGCAGTCTTTGTTTCTGACACATTGAAGAAGGGTAAAGATCTCTATGTCTTTGCGTCGTCTGTCAGGGAGGCTGTTTGGACCGGACCACAGTATGGCGCTTTTATGTATTGGATGTTGGCTAAAGAAAGCCTTGGACATACGTTCTCAGACGCTTATGAAGTTTCATCACCATACAGCGGAATATTCCCATTGGGCCCGGCATTAATGAGACCACTTTGTACACACCAGTCATTCCCCAATCTTGGACAGATCGCTGGGTTAATCGTCAAATACACAAATACAAACAGTAAGACGTTGACCATCTCCACATGCGGAACGGAAACATTAGTTCCGACTATTATGGATATTGTCAGCGAAACAAACGGAAAACAAAGTTGCTCAGAGGAAGTTGAAACATTAACTTGTGGAAACGGAAACACTATTACAAGCGCGCTCAATGGAACATCGTATGCAACCGTGTTTGTGCACCCAAGTTACACAGTGACTGAAGGTGTAGTTAGACTCAACATATACGAAAACACAAAAGAAGCATCATCCCGGTGTACTGCTGCCGAGGAAGTGACCGTCCCAAGTGTTCATTACTCCTACACTGAAAAAGCCGACTCAACCCGTGGGAACTGTTTAATTTTGGCCGATGGATTGAAAGGAAAGTGGTTTACATTTACATCGGAGAAAGACGTGTCTTTGATGATCAAAACAGACGACATCTCGACCTTCAATACACAAATTGGAGTTTATGACTCTTGTGAAGTTGTTGCGGAAGATTCAGTTGCTGGCAAGTGTGTTACTGGGACAAACTTCATTAGATCCCCAGTCGGTATTCACGGCACTTTACTCACATTCGAAGCGAAGAAAAACAAAAAGTACTTCATTTTTGTTGGAGGTGCTTTGAACTCGGACTCTGGATTCATGAGAGTCGTCTTTGATTATTACGACGAGGACGGACTTACAGGAGGACAGATATTTGGTATAGTCTTTGCTGTTGTATTCTTGGTCATTATAATCGCCGCGTTTGCTGCGTTTGTTGGATACTTGGGATACAAGAAGTACCAGAGTAAACACAACGCATCAACATTCGGTACTTTCTAATCAAAAATTTTTCGTTCGTTTTTGTTAACAATGAATTGAATTATCTTCTATTAAGTTTTAATATTTATAAGTTATATTTTAAATTACTTATAATTAACTTACAACCATTTTTTAATTCATTTTTTCTATAAAACATTTTAATATAATAAACTATTAATTATAGAATTTGTTATATAAAAAGTCTACAAAAATGTGAATAAAAACTTTCAAAAAGTAGTGTATTATGACCCAGAAAGTTCGGCTTCAAAGCGTCTTTCTGATGAATGCACTGTTTTACCTTCCTGATGTGGAGACAGTTGAACGGTTTGAAATGATTTCAAAAGCGTGTCAAATTGCGATTCTATCGACTCATATCAACCCATACAACTTGGCGTCGAACACTTCATCAAAAAAGATACAAACGATCTTCCCAAAAATTCAAACCCTTTTCATTTCTGGACTGTTTGCCCAATTGAAATCGAGTGAAAACAAAAAAATTGACAACATAGAAATTGCACGATGGGATGAGAATGTCGGGATGGCAATATTTAAAAAGCAATGGTTTCTCGAAAAGATTAAAAAACTGAGAATAACGCCCGTGATAGCAACATCGTTGAAAATTAACATTTCTAAATGTACTAACCTTGTCGAAATCATTTTAACCGAAGATGTGCCACTCATCATGATGTTGGCATTTTTAGCGTTACCATCGTTAAGAAAGGTCACAGCTTATATTCCATCGGAAAATGAAATGATGTCATTCATTTCAACAATCTCAGAGAGCAACAAAAAGTGCGAGAAGAACAATGAAAAGAGTGTCGTCCTCTTTTTAGTTGTGTCACAAATATGTGACGATTCCATTGTAGCTTCTATTCTCGCCCAAAAGCCATCGAACGTCACAATCTATTTTAAAGGCACAGATAAGTACAGTTCTACAGAGAGTAACATCTTCCAAACAACAGACAATAAAGTGTTTAAGACTGAAGTTGCGCCAAGAGGGTCATCCTTTTATAATGGTCTTCCGTTCGATCAAGTCAAAAATTTGGTGAAATACGCGGCGAGTGCAAAACTACAATATTTGGATGTCGAAATCAGTTTAAGAGAAACGAAGAGAGGGATCGACTTCACGAGCTTGGAACTCCTCAAAACGCTTGTGATTGACAAAGCCAAAACTTCTTTACTCATCCCAAAGTTCTTGGAGAATTTGAGTATCTATAACTCAGAGTGTGAAATTCTTTTTGGAACAGTTAAGCTCACGAAATTAATAACAAACCATTGTGCGTGCAAAGGAACACTTGACGTTGGGAAACTGAACTACATGAAAGTGTTGAACGACAAAAGTCACTTCAACTTTACAAGAAATGGCAAAGCGTATCAAAGGGAGTTGCCAATAGAACTTGATTTTAAATGCTTGAAAATACCAGAGAGGTGGTTCACATCAAAGAAAGTGTTGTTACTACAAAATGGCGAAAAAGTGTCATATCCAAACAGTGTTTTAATAGATATAGAAAATGGGGAATATACTTTTAAAAAGTTAGTTAAAGATGATGTCGTAGTAGACATGTCGAAATTCAATTTCTTCACTTTCACGTTGAAAGAGACGGTGGGGATCAAAAAATTGTATTTAGGCAATATATACCAAACATTAATTATTGGAGACAAAAACTCATCTTGTATTTTACAATGTAAACACATCCATTTCATTAACTCGTATGGACCACTTAAAACACTTTTGTATTCTTCAAGTGATTTTGTTGTTGAAGGCGACGATAAGAAGCTCATCGCAAACGAAGTTTTGTGCTATTAATTATTTGTATTGTTTATTTTATTATTATTTTGTAATTTCTATTTATATTGAATTCTAAAAATAATTAGACGTCGTTTTCATTTTCAATTTGAATTAATTACCACGATTAAATAGTAAATGATAATTCCGTTTATTTTGCTTTAATCCAACATTCATTTGTTTATTGATTTGTACTTGTGTTTGTTTATCTTTACATAACAAAATATCAGTGAAAGAATGACTTATCTTAACTAGTGTTTAGTAAGATACTCACACATACCTTGTGGGCATGGTTTCATAGTGTCTTTCCCAGGTGTCCAATTAAGTGGGCAGACTTCTCCGTGTTCATCAGTGAACTTGATGGCTTCAATGATTCTCTTAGTCTCTTCAGTGTTTCTTCCAATACCATTATCATTGATCTGCATGTATCTGATGATGCCCTTTGGATCAATAATAACATACCCTCTTCTGGCAATACCATCACAACAGTTGAACATACCATATCTCATTGAAATGATCTTCTTAATATCAGAGACCAATGGGAATGCAAGTTTTCCAATACCTCCATGTTCTCGAGGAGCATCACACCATGCTTTGTGACAGAAAACTGAGTCAACAGAAACTCCAAAGAATTGAACATCCTTCATTTCTTCGGCCAACTTTGAGTATCCGAGCATTTCAGTTGGGCAGACAAAAGTCCAGTCAAGTGGGTAGAACAACAAAACAATGAACTTTCCCTTGAAGCTCTCAAAGTCCATATCGACAATACCATTGCATGGGCAGAGGGCTTGGGCCTTGAAGGTTGGGGCTTGTTCGCCAACTTGAGCCTTTGGGACAGCAGCAATGAATTCTTTGTATGCCTTCTTGATTGGGCATTCTTGTTGGCAACATTCCTTCTTTTCACAAACTGGTTTGGTACAAGTGTCTTTTTGGCAGGTGCTCATGTTCTTTGACTGTTCTAAGATCACGAAAACCGCCTTTTATTGACCAAAAATAATTCCAGATGTTATTCTACCCACAGATTTTGGCTAGTCGTAATTATTTGTATCAAATCTATTTATAGTTACTGTTGATAAGTAAAAATATAGATTGAAACAATTAAAACATAATTAGTGATGTCATTATTCAATTAAGAAGACTACATACTTTTAATTAATTCAAAGATTTTAACGAACATCTCGTAATTTGGTAAAGAAAATCTAATATTAAGTTTGAGGAATTGAGGGAAACAAGTTTTAATAACAAAGAGTTGGTGTTAGTAAACATTTTGATGTTGAAAGAAGACGGTTTTTATCAATTTATTGATAATTCACTTTATAATAAAAATTGATTTGTATACAAATAAATTGTATTTCATTTCTTCAAGTCTTTTATTAAGTTTTCAATGAAATTAATGACTAAAAAGGTTTATAAGAACAATATAATTTTTCAACTACTTTATATATTATAAAACAATAACAATTGAAAATATTTCTTATGTATACTTTTCATCACATTTAACCTCTTCGAATGTTGGTTATATATATGTTTGTTTTTTTATTAACTTTAAACCAATATAATTCAGATCGTTTAAATACATCAAAGTTTTATTTATTTCAAAAACTTTTCAGAATTAAAAAAAAATTCAAATATTTTGTGAAGTTTTGACAACACACAATAATTAAATAGATAATAGTAAAATATTAAAATACTTTTTATTTTATTGTTTTTGTAACTTTCATAATTTATAAAAAAAATCAATTTGGCATTTTTTGATTTATAAAATAACTAATCTATTTAAATAGTTATTTATTATAACTATTTAAATAGAATAAAATTTCATACATAATAAAAAAGTTACACATAGTTCACTTTTTTAATATGACAACGTAGAGGGCACAACCAACTTTTTGTATTTTTGCTGTTTTTGAATAGAAATAAAACCAAACTGTGTTTGAGTTAGCCAATTGATGGTAAATACAAAATTGAGATAGAGGGTGAAAAAAACTTAACAAATTTATATTAATAACCAAAAGTACTTCTAAGAAAAGAGTCTACAATAAACAATTAAGAACTTGACATAATCGTACATTAAACAACACCATCCTGCAATTTCGAGATGAACTGGAACTCCTAAATTATACTGTTTTGGCATGTTGTATTTGATGATATGTTTGATGTTCATCAGCACGTTGGCAAAGAGTTCCGATGACGATTTCCTTCTTGATGTTGAAGAGGATGACTTCGAGTTTGAAGATGACTTTGAAGACGAATCATATTTGGACGATTTGGTGGATGAGTTTGAGCTGTTTGATGACGACGATTTTAATTTGATTAAAGTTGCAAAGAAAGTGGGTAAAAAAATAGTAAAGGGAGCTAAATCACTGCTCGGGATAAGAAGACATAAACACTTTTACAGTCATCTCTTTGGTCATGGGTATGGATATTCTGGTGCCTATTTCAGTGCCGATCGTTACCCATTCATTTACAATCATCCAATGTACAAGTGGTATTGACCATCGCTGCTAGGCTAAAAATATGAATATTTGGCTGTTGGTTTTTTGAAATAACACGAAGAGAGTCATATTTTTTTCATTTTTGTTACACGCAATTTTGATTATAAATTGTTTTAATTTGTGTGTAAAGGTCAAAACATTTTTTATAAATAAAACAACGACGTGTAATGATTTTATTGTATTGATAAAAAATTTGATATATTTTTTAATTTTTAAATGGTTAATAATGTTGAAATTTTGTAAATATTAAACATTTTGTGTTTTCGCTCATTTTTAGATGTTAATCACTCGAATCTATTAGATAAATATTCATAACACTAAAAAAATATTGTTTCTTTTTTTACCATTCTTATGAATTTTTACCTATTTTTTAATTGTTTATTGTTCGTTGTATATATATTTTAAAGGGTATTGTTTGGATAGAATTCTATGTCAAAATACTATTTCTGTATGTAGTTTCAATTTAAGAGTATACAAAAGTATTATATTGCCACTCTACCTTATGTAAAAAATTTGTTCATGCAAGACTTTAATGGTTAAATTTTAATTTAAATATATTATTATATAGTTTAATAATTACAAACAAAAAACACTAAAATCGGTTTCAGTTTTAATTTATTAAAATGGTTTTTATTAACTAATATTTTTAAATTAAAAGTCTTGCATAAGACAAAGTTTTAACAAGGAAGAGTGACCATACTGAACAATTAATCAAAAGACTTATTTTTTTAAATTAACACAGAGGTTTGTATTCTTGAATGTAAATTGTTACATATTAACATCATTTTAAAACAAAAGTTAGATCTTTTTTGTTTGTTTTCTTTGTCAAAAGTTGTTATTTTAAAAAGTTTGATATTAACAATATTAACCTCAAACCAACTTTTGTGCTGGAAGTCACAAAATCGACGGTGAACTTTGTAACTCCCCTTTTTATTATGTTGTATTTACTCTTTTGGATTTTTTGTTGGGGCGTATGTGCCGAGGAGGGTGATAACGCCGATTTTTTATTTGACAACGAATTATTGGGGGGTGAAGTGAATGATATTATTGATGAGTTTAAGTTGAACGATAATGAAGACCATGAAGATGACTTTGAAGATTTTGAATTTGACGATTACACAACTGATAAGAACGAAGATAATGCAAATGAAGAAAAAGAAGATAAAGATGATGAAAGTAATAAAGACGAAGAAGATGTGGGAATGACAAATACAGACTTTGGATATACGAATGGGATGTATGCGAATGAATTTGATGACACAAAAGATTCAAACGAGTTTCAATTGAATGACGATGGTATCATTGATAAAATCAAAGAAAAATTAAATAGTGGAGCACTTGGACACACAGGGAAAAAAGTTTTGAACAAATTGGTTCATAAAGGATCGAAATATGCAAAAAAATTCCTCAATAAACACCTTGGTTTGGATGAGGATTCAACACCATCTTACTCAAAGAAAAAAGTCAGAGGTTGCGATGCTAGAAGCTTTTATCACAACATGTATTGGAACGGCTATGATCAATACTTCTTGGGATATGCATCTTACCCGTACTTGTACTACAGTCCACTCAGAAGGTGGTATTAAATTCTTTAATTCCAATAATTTCAATAATAAAAAAGATTCTTCATTTTTTGTTACAGTGAACTAATTATCTCAAGATTTATTTGGTTTTATAAACACCAAGCATTGATTTTTTGCAAAAGAGAATCAACAAACAAATAAAAAGACAAATGATTAAAGTTGTTGAAGGAAAGTGAGAAGAACTTCTGACGCACTTTTCAGATTGCTGAAGGAAATGCGCTCATTAACTTTGTGGATGACTTGTTCGTCACCTGGCCCAAAAATGATGACAGTTGGCTTTGCCTGTGTTCTGGAAAATGCCGCGCCGTCTGTCGCATACGCCATCTTCTTGATTCTGTTCTTCCCAAGTACTAAATCGGAACTTCTTGCCAAACCAACAACATATTGGTTTGTCACGTCGGTGTGAACAGACTCAACCCGTCCTTGAAATTCAATTTCATAAACAAAACGAGTAGTTTTGTGAAGTGTGGCAACCGCCATCCTTATAATTGCCTCAATTTCTTCAGTTGTCACAAAGGAGCTTGTTCTGATGTCGACTACAGCCTCACAATAGTCTGCAACTACATTTGGAGCAGAGCCACCTTTGATCATCCCAAGACTAAGAGTTGTTTGGTTGCTTGTGTCGCAACTCAATGGGAGAGAGTGACTGACAGTTTGAATCAAGTCGATCATTCCGTTGATAGCATTAACACCAAGATTTGGTGTGCTTGCGTGCGCAGCTATTCCCCTGCACTTCATTAACACCCTCAATTCACCTTTTTCACTCATTCCAATGTCGAGATTGGTTGGCTCGTCGACTAAAACGAGTTTCACAGACTCAAAAAGTTCTGGATGGGCCTCGACAAGCTCTTTTGCCCCAACAACACCATCTTCCTCCTCACAAGAAACTACCAAAAGAATGCTTGGAAGTATTGGAGATGTCTTCTCATGTAAATACTTCAAGACGGCAAGCTGACTGGCTATCCCCCCTTTCATATCAGAAGTTCCTCTTCCAAAAATCGTAATATCCCCGTTCTCTTCAAGGATTTCTGTTGTTGTCAGTGGTGGGTGTTTCCACTCCGACTTGTCGCCGATTGGGACTGTATCAAAATGTGAAGACAACACAATTGTGTGTTTGGCTTTTGTAAAGTAAGCCACAAAATTAACTTTGTTTGGGTTCAAGCGTGTCGGGAATGTCTCAGTTTTCATCCCAATTTCTTCACACTTTCTAGTGAGCAGAGAGATCATGGGAAGGTCGCTGCGGGTGCCAGTCTGCGTGTTGCACTCAACCAACTCTTTCAAGGTCAGTTTGAGGTATGATGGGTCTATACGTTTCTGGTGCATCGATTTGTTTTGTTGAAAGTCTCATATTTTCCACTTAAGTTTGTTTGTATTCTCAATCTTGTCGAATCGATATTTGATAACTTCGAAATGAGTGATAAACAAGGCTCTGTTTATGTTTTGATTAAAAATAAGATTGACTTGTGCGAAAACAAACCAACCCGTATTTTGAATTTGGCTGTGAATTGATGTGTTGATTTTTTCAGTTAGTTATTTTTTATTTTTTTAATAATTAAAATTTATCATTTTCATAATTTGTAATTGATATTAATTTAAATTATAAAAAACTATAATTAAATAACATTAAAAATTTTGCTTTAAATAATCATAATTATTTTAGTAAAAAAATGATAGATCAAAACAAAACTAAAATAAAATTAAAAAAACTAGACTTATTATTATAACAAAACTATTATTTTAGATGGTTCTAAAATAAAAAAACATATCTTTTTGAATCTAAAATTTTTAGTATTTTAAATAAAAATATCAATTATAAAATAAATGAATCATATCAACTAATATAAAATAGAACAACATAAAAATACTTATAAACCATTTTTCTTTAGTTTGGTTGTTCAAATTAATTTTAAAAACTAAAAAAGCTCAAATTTCTGAATGGATATCATAGATTTGAACGACAGCGAAGAGCAAAAATTAGAATCGCAGCCACAACCAGAAGATAATCTTGAAAAACCAAAAAACGACGAGAAAGGGGACAATCTCAAAACTGATGGACAAACGATTGAGAAGATTGTGAATAATGACAAGGTGGTGGAAAGTACAGAAATTTCTGTTATAAAAGAAGAGAAAAAAGACGAAAAAATAGACCCACTTGCTGTGGCAGACGAACCACAAGGTGAGTCCACTTTTTTTACTCCTTCCAATTTTTTTGTCTCAGACCTCGAAGCTGAAAAAGAGAAAAAACAAAAGTACGACGATGTTCTCTCGGAGTCTGCAAACAACACGACTTATGTTGCCCCAGAGTTTATAGAGACGACTGTTGACAACCCAGAAGTGATTCAAGATGCAAATGGGAAGTTTATCATTTATACAGTCACAACTCGAGTTTGTTTTAGTTCTTTTTATATAGCTTTTATAGTTATTATTTACTAATATAAATATCTGTATGATAACCATCCATTAATAGTAAATTAATAATACAGTCCTCATACACCGAATACAAACCAGGGGAATTCACTGTGAAACGAAGGTACAACCAATTTCAATCACTTAAAGATCAACTAAAAGAGTTCAGAGACAACACGCCACAATCAAAGGTATGGGGTGCTTTCCCAAAATTCCCTGGAGACACTTTCATGTCGGCGTATTTCCCCGGTTATAGGTTTAAACCAGAATTCACGAAGCAGAGAGCACTTGAGCTCAATCAATTTTTACAAGCACTCCTCCAGCACCCATCTTACACATTCCACGACCTCATGATTAAATTCTTAACACAACCAGACTTTGAAATTGTCAAACTTAAAACTAAGATTGTGTTTGGAAATGAGTCAGAGTCCTCCTCTGAGGATGTCTAATCATTAACTTTTCTAACTCTGTTGTGTGTTTTCTTGTTGTTTTGAAACAATGAGACTCTATTCTAGTTTATTGTATAATATTATTATTATTTAAAAATAAATATATCAGTTGGTATAATTTAGAATAAAAATACTAATAAATAATACCAATACTCTCGAGTTAGTATTATATAGTAAAATAACCACAAAATAATAGTAAACAATAAAGAGAGAAAAGAGAAGAACTTCAAAAAAAGAGATGGAGCATCAATTATACAGCAAGTGGGTGTTTTGGTTTGATGGATTTAGTAACAAGACGCAGGGGAGTTACGGAGCGAACATTGTCGAGATGGGTGATGTGACGACCGCCGAAACTTTTTGGGGAGTTTACGACGCAATACCTCTATTATCGAAGATGGAGAACGGGAGTGATGTTTCGTTGTTTAAAAAAGGGATTAAACCGATATGGGAAGATGACATGAATGTTGGAGGTGGGAGAGTGCAAATAATACTGATTGGTGCCAACTGGGAAAGCACACAGAAGTATTGGCGAGACGTTGTTTGTTACTTAGTACTATTAATTTGTAGTACTTTAACTATATATTAACTATTAGTTACTCACTTTGATAGGAGAGACTATGCCTGATCCCGAGTACGTGAATGGGGTAGCATTCTCTGTCAGACAACATTGCAAGATTTCTGTGTGGGTAGAAGCAAAAGGGCAAAGTGTTGTGAAGAATATAGCAAAGAAGTTGAAAGAAATAGTCAATATCGAAGGTGCTACAGTTATGTATTACCCACATGATTCCACTTTGGAGCCTATCATTTGTTGATCGATTTTGTTTTACTTTTTGAGTTCGGTCAAATACCTCAATAATTCAGTTCGAGTTCTTTGTTATATAATCGGTCTTAAGACGATATATATATTAATTTATAGACCTTAAAAACTATAATATTTTGGGAAAATTTTATTAAAAATCCATCTAATTGTTATTGATTTCTTTCTTAATTTACCATATCCACGATTTTTTTATAGTAAGAAGATTTTTAAATATGAAATAAATCTATACTTAATCTAATATTTTTTTCTTAGATAATTATTAGTAAGAAAATGATGTTTTAATTTTTTTTATATTTTTTTTGAATTATCAAGTTATTAAATATAATAAATTTACTATTAATAAGATAAGATATAATATAACTGAAGAACTGAAGTCGATATGTCAAAAAAGTTTAAACAACAAGCAGCACCGTTAAAAAAGTGGAATAAGCCTTCACAACAATCGAGTGCACTCAAAGAAATATTACAAAATGTTAAAGGGAATAAGCCTGAGACACACGAAAGAATAGTAAGGAATATGCTATCATCTGAAGTCGACATCTACATCTTTCAAATATTGAATTCAAAAGTGAAAGAACAAATCAAGAAAGATGCCTATAATCTTCTTATGTATTTAATATTAAACTCAAACAAAGAACAAAAGAACATTCTTTTAATAAACGTTAGTGAGTATTATATACAAGAAATGGACGTGAAATGGCTAGGTGATAATGGGATGGAACTGATTCATTTCTTGTTTTTAAATATTGAATATACAGTCATGCGAAAAAGCTGTCGCGTTTGGAAAAACCTGTCTTGAAAAAATATTTTATAGTAAATTTATAATTACTTACTATACAGTATAGCTTCTATTCGATTTATTTGCAGGGTCATTTCACAAAAATCGAATAAAAATATTCGGCATTTCCAAATAACATTTTCTATTTCAGATCATTTGTTTATAGTACTAGAATAGTTCATTACCACCCGAGACAGGTTTTTCCAAACGCGACAGCTTTTTCGCATGACTGTAATAGAAAATTACTTATGTTAAAATTTGAACCTTTAATGGACTCTTGGAAAGAAAAAGCACTCAATTCAGACCAACTTGACTTGCTGACAACCACTTTTTATTCAATTTTAGAGTCTGGAGATGTTTCCCAGCATTATAAGACCCATATATTAGAGTGTTATTGTTCCCAATTACATTACAATGGGTATAAAATGCTGGAAAAGGTCATGAAGAGAGTCGTGAATAAAAAATTCTATCAGCCACAAGAAAATAAAGTTGAATGTAAAAGAGTAGAATTACTTTTACCTTTTCTAATTGAAGCAACAAAATGTGACGATCAAAATGTCCAATGGATTGTGTATGAATACAATCAGTAATGTCAATGCTTCCGAATATATAAATATACTATCTCCCGCTCTAATCAAAGCGGGTATTATCAAGTCTATTTATAACTCATTCAAACTCTCCAATTTGGCACTCAATCGAAGTGGTTTAAAATTGTTATTTCATTTTTTGTGTTATCCCGACTTTATTGTTTCAGAAACGACGTTTGATGAAGGGTGCTTCGACTATGTTATGGAGTGGGAAGGGAATTGCACTGATTTTATAATGAATTTATACTTAAATAGTGTCTTTTATATGACCATCTTCAATATCAATGATGACCAATTGACCAAATTATGTAAGAATAAGGTAATATATGAGAAACTCCCATTAATGCTATAAGATAAGACGAACGGCCCACTCCATTTTGTAAAAATAGTTCTACGAATCTGTAATTTGAAAAGAAGAATAGATAGTAAGAACTATGACAGTACCCAGTTGATGTTTGAAAATGGGTTCTTCAAACTAGTCGACGGATATCAAACCAATGAACGCGAAGTTGTATTGGCGGTTTCCAAAGAAATCATGTTACGACACTTTAATCCCTATTATGCACTTCACAATGACGACGCTTATGATTTAGATTAATTGGTTCTTAAATTAATTGTTTAATAAAAAAAACATAATAATAAATTAGTTACATATAACAATACCATCAATTCGCAATGAGAACGTTTGTTGGCTTCTCATTAGTGTTGATGTCGTGGACCGAAATAATGTTTTCTCCAAGTCGTGTTTTCCTTTTTGATTTGACAATTTCCTTTGTGATGACAACAGACTTCTTAGTACACACCTTTGGTGATAATAATGTGTGATTTGTGTCAACGGGTGTTGCTTTGCCGTCTCCAGAAAGACTTTTAAATGGTACAACATTCTCTTGTTGTATCTTTGGAAGACTTTTATTTTCACTTTCGCTCACCCGACTCGGCTTAATGAAACGTGACGTTTTGGACTTCTCAAGTATCATTTGAATGATTTCATCGCCTGAAGACGAGTTAGTGGCTTCCACTGATTTTTCATTAGTCTCATTCGACTTTGTTTGTGTCATTCCTAACACCGTTGTCTCATCCATTGCGTTCTTCTCGACTATGCCCTCCATCTTGACTTGCTGTTCATTCTTTTTGTTTACCATTTCGGAGAGTTGTGACTCCGGAAGTGACGAACTTGGTCGATGCAATTTGACTTCATTGAAGTCTCTTGGTGTTTTCTCGCACAGACTCATTCTTGGCGTCTCAAAAGAGTCGATATCAACGACAGAATAATCTCTCTCATTCTCGCTGTTGTTGTAGTCCTCTGAGCTCAGCTCGAGGATGTTATCAAACGAAATTTTCTTGACCTTTCTGAATGGCAATTTCGTCGACAGTCGCATGTTTCGCAACGTTTCAAATCGACTCTCCGTGGTTTTACTCTCACTATTTCTGCTTTCTGTTTCTCTG